TATATATATATATATATATATATATATATATAAACTTTCTGGTGACTACTTTCACTACACACACACACACCAAGCACCAACAGACCAATGACCAAGGTTAGTGAGAAAGATGACAGCGGCCATATATCAGAGACTAAGATCAGGCAAGCTACAATATTTTCTGTTAAAGTTTCAGTCCACTTTAACAGCTTAGTGTAAGTATATATTTCTAACCATGGATATAAGAAAAATCCTGATTTAGAAATCAATGGCAAGGAGGTGAAATATGGACACCATATTGTTTAGGCAATACAAACCAAAAGCAAAAACAACCAAAAATATTAAATACTCATGAATGCAAGAGCAAGCTGACAAGAGTGACAAAAGCTAAGGCTGGTAAAAATTGGTTCTATTTAAGATTTAAGATGTTACCTCTATATTTCTAAGTTCTGCACAAGCATGAAAGGCAACATGATACACAGTTAGTTGTCTGTTCACAAACCCACGCCTGTGAACATATTCAGCAGTAGGCATGTCATACAACTCTTCATCAGAAACACCTATCATCATATTTCCAGCATTGGTAGTAGATGATTCAACTGATGACCACCCTTTCGACTGCTCTACAAGCTCAAGAATCTAGCAAGATGAGGAAAATATTAGAAGGCTTTTAAAGATAAATGAATGAAACTCTCTTCAAATGAGAAAATGTGCCTGATATGTACTTTGGTAGCTATCTCATTTGCTCTAGGCATCTTGTTCATATGTGCAGCTATGAGTCCAGCGTAACAGAACTTGTTCAATCCAGCACCAGCAGCAGTCATATCACGGACAATTACTAACCTAAAAAATTTACATGAAGGTTATTTTCAACTATATTCACTGCAGGATTTAAAATAACCAGTCAGCAACAGAGTGTTGATATAAATGAGCAATTAGTTTCAATCGTAATTCCAAAGTAATAGGTCAAAGACCATATGGACAAACTAGTTTCCTGCATTTATATAGGAGCAGAAAGATGGCACATTCATCACCATCTACTATAAAATCAACGAAATATCCCATTCAAGCAAACAGTAACTGGCTGTCTCAATTGTTATTGTAAATGGATCAAACCCCAGTTAAAAGTTGGTCATTCATGGGTAATGGCTAATGCAAAGATCATCTTAATGGAACCATCAAACAGCAATGTGCTGTGTACCAGCAACAAATGAATAGATTTATTTGAACAAAAGACAAACAAAACAGATATTGTAACTTGGAAAAACAGAAAGTTCTAACAAAGAGAATTTTTTTTTTTTTCAGCCAAAAATCAAAAGAATAAAATTCACCAGCTAACCCTTGTATAATTACAGAACAGGAAAAGGTAGCAAATAGGCAAAGGAATAAGAGCACAGTTATTAAATAGAAAATGAAAAAAAAGAACAAAGGTAAACAATAAAAGAAGTAACATACGCCCGATCTACTCGGCCAGCGGCTGCACATGCATGAAGAAGACAGATATACGTTTGTGCGGTAGGCTTCACTCCATCTTTCTTCATTTCTTCCAAAATCTTACATGAAAAGGGAAAATAGGTTGAAGTTACTACACATTTAAAAGAAAGATGGCTTGGTGCAGTTAAGAGAATGCAAAAGTTTAACAGGTAAATGAATAAAAGATAAATGCAAAAAGATTTGGTAGCTTACCTGAATTGCCTGGTCAGAATTCTGGCATTTCCCACATGTTGAGATTAAAAAATTGTACAAGCTAACCTATCACATAAAATCAGATCAATTATCCCTGAATTAAACCAAAATCTTCAGGAAGATGGGGAAACAAAGAAGCAACTTATTAATCATAAACTAATAGGCTGTATCCTTGTTATGCGGCAACACACAAACCTGAACCCTTCTTCGCAAAAACAGAAACAAAAGGATAACAGGCTCATATCCCAGTAACTAAAATGAGAACTAGCTAAGGAAACAACATGGCTGTGTACAATAACTAATGTGAGGTCAGGCCAGATGCATTATTTGATCCAAACAAAGATATAAATGATAAGTTTCATTTTTTATTTTTTCATTAAGTTCATGAATAGAAACTAG